CATACCCAATCATCTTGAGCACATGGGGACCTACAAGGGCTCCCTCATCTAACTTGCCTTGAAGATATCTTTTGAAACTTCAAACCTTTCATACCTTTCCTTCTCTTGATAGAGCATCTTCAGGTGTTCGATCATATCGAACGCTGCCATGTTCTCATGTTGCTTCTACAACTTTGAGTTTATGGCAGCAAACATGAGGCAAGCAACTTCATTGACATCATCAAAATGCTTCTTATAAGCATTTTTTCTGCCTTAGGTGCAGAACTAGGAGACTCCTCCTCATAAACAGGTGTCTCTAAGACATACAACTTTTTATCATGTTTGAGGATAATCCTCAGATTTCAGTGCCAATCCAAAAAAATTGTCCCGGGCAATTTTTCTTTATCAAGGATTGATCGAAAATTGTTGTTAGAAGTGTCTGTTGTCATGGTAATCTACATAAAGATTGTGAAGATATCAGTATCATTAAAACATATTTAATTAGGCCTTTAATTAAATATGCTCCCACTATTTTACTCAAAAACCAAACGATCCTCATCATTTGATTTGGAAAATTCTGTTGAAAGATTTTCTAGTGGATCGAGATCCATATTTCACTTTGTTTTAAGTCAGCGTTAGGCTGATTACACAAAACTCGGTTATTAAGGTAGGAACTCCTTCCAATTGTACCTAATACAATTCTTGAATATTTTAGTTGGATGAATAACTCTTTGTTCTAATCCATCATATGTATTTTCCCAACTCTTGCTTCTAAACGTATATAATCTTATTATAATTAGCTTAGATAAGTTCGACCCAATATTTTAGCAATTAGATATTACATTTATCCCATCGCACCTTACTAATATGGAACATGCATCCCGTGTTAGACGAAACCTACATTATTCGATACTAGTCCTGATAAGTGCTAAAACTTTGGAAATCACAAACTTAATATTTCTTTTGAGAGAATTTGTAATTAGTTTGATCTCATTGGCTTGTTTATCATACAAAATGTCTCTCACATGCATCAATATACATTCAGATTCATCAACATATATAAAAAATATGAAACAGTTAATGCCCTTAACATAATTGTTCTCTCAAGTCAATGAGTGAACCTAAGCTAAACCTAATAACGATCTAAGCTTCTTCAAGCAAGATATCCAAGGTTGTCCTCCTTTGATATTGTATTCTTCTCTTTCTTCATAACATTACATTACATAAAATAATACTCGTTTTACATACGAGGGAGTGAGATGAGAACAAAAGTTACATCAAGACATTAAAAGAGAGACACGACACGCATGTCGTATTTTAAAATCTCAAAACAAAATAAAAGATAACTAAGGCCATAACCAATTACTACAAAAATATAATAATAATCACACTTTTATTACTATTATTATTAATTAGTTTTAATTCTGTTAATTAAATAAATTAAATTAAATTTTGGTAATTGATCTCATAGATTTTATCCAAAATTTCGTTGTCCGAGTATATACCAAATTATTTTAAATAAATAATAATAACATATTATTATTATAATAGTTAAAATAATATGATAAAAAAATCAAAAATAAGACAAACATGGTCTTATCATGAAACGTAAGCCAAACATGTCCTTATCATGAAACACAAGCCAAACATGACCTATCTATTGTGCCGCCAAATCACTGATACGTTACATTATCATTCATCATTTTATTTGGCCAATGTTTAGTTTATAAGGCAACAGTAACCTCTTTCATAAGATAAACAGCTCACATATGAATTTTGAGATAACGTATGCACATTTTATTAAAATGATAATCACTATTATTATCATATTATAAAAAGAAAATTTAGGGATATAGCTCTGTAACTTTTACAAACCCCAATTTTATAATTCTTGACAACACAATTCTTGTGTCGTCATTAACTCTAATGTAATTTATTCATATCATCAAAATTGTAATGACAGATTATTCAATTCGATTGATTGGAATGTCATTGTTTCATCATATAAACATCAGATTTCGAAGCAAAAGAATATTAACCATTCACATGAAACACAATCATCACACAAATTGAATCGATGAAATAAGACAATATATCAAATATATTATCGTTGCATCAAAATTATTCATATCTTATATGAATTGATCGATCATATTAGTGTAACTTATGGATGATTGATGCATCGCTGATTCACCTTACAAAAGTCGGATTCTAAAGCATAGTCAACATCGATAATCCAAATCGTACACAAATGATGCCAAATTTAATTTTCTTTATTATTTAATTTATTTTGTGTTTTAATCAAATTAAATTAGAAAGTACAGAAAATAAACATACCCAATTCATGGTTTCGTAAGTGACTCTGATACCACTGAAGGGAAATCATGATTCAAAATACATTGTAAATTAAAAAATTTCCTTTAACGATCCTTACGAATGAGCATGATCAGTGATGGAAACGCTCACCTCTTGTGGAGATTAAAACCTTTGATGCAGACCGAAGGAGTGATCACGAGCATTGATGAAGAACAACGTCTCTACTCAGTCCACACAAACAGACAACCTTCAGTGTCAGTGCTAACGAGTAAAGGTTTTGAGTGTGTGAGAGAGAGAAATACGGTCAGGATTTCACAAACCTAATTTCATCAACTGAGAAAGCTTATGCACAAGAGTTGTATTTATAGAATCACTTGGATGGACTGCAAGCTAAAAAAACCCAAGTGCATCATATAATAATAATAATAATAATAATAATAATAATAATAATAATAATAATAATAATAATAATAATAATAATAATAATAATAATATATTACTATAATAAACATGTTTCATTATTATTATATTATATGATGTTCCATATTTTATTTAAGTGTATTGTACCTTACGGTGTTTCATAGTTCTCTCAAGTACACCGTACTTTACGGTATTTCTTATTTATTTTATCTCTTATCAATTTGTCCTTATGTGTGTGACCCTGTAGGTTCTCGTGACATTGGCAATTATATTAAATCATGCATTTAACATAATAAACAGTGAGCGGTATCTAGCAACACTGCTACCCAATTCACAAAAATGTCATGTGATCTGACAAAACATTTTATGTGATAATGTTTGTGTGTATAATTACCATTTTGCTCTTATATCTATATTGAGCACAAAGCATATATCGTGTCACCTTTGTCTAGTTCAATATTGGACCCTTAGACATTTATCCGGTTACGCAGGATGAGAAATTTTCATCAGGTCACTCATGTCTCTTTGCATGCTATATAAAGTACCTATCAACTGTCTTTATGACCATTCATTTATGAATAATATTTAATCAACAATAAAGTATTTGACTCTACATCTATGGTCCATAGTGGTTTCAGGTCGAAGGGTGGTATACACCACTATTACCATGAGAATAACTTATGACATGTTGCATAATATTCTATGTAGTATTATCATAGCGGGTCAATTCAGTATAAATATTACTCCTAATATTCATATTTATGTCAAGACTTGATAACTCTTTATTCATGATCCATGAGATGTGATCATCAGTCTATCTACATAATAGTCTTAATGTTTTATTGCTACCCTACTTCACAATAAAATTCGACTACGAATACTTTAAGAATATTGTCCTTATGTTTAATGGGATCTCATGATTAAGTTACATTTAACATTTCATTAAACAGACTAACTATTCTAGGGACTTTATTATTTTAGAAAAACAAACACAATAAAGAAATGTTTTTTAATATTAATAAATAATTCAATACAAATACCAAAATATTAGCCTCTAGGGTTTACACCATCAAGATTTACGTTAACAAAAATCTACATAATGTTACGTATTTTATGTATGTATTAATAAAGATTTATGTTAATTTTATATTATTCTTCTCATTTCTGCAATTGTTTCTGGTGTTGAGAGGATTCTGAAAATTAACTTCCGAAATAATTTCGAAACTTAACCTCTAGATAATTTCATTTGTGGCCTGCGTCTGAGACCTGACTTGGGTTGATTTGGGTGTGTATTGAAGTTAACTTCCGAATTTTATAAAAATTGTTGATTTTTCACTATGGTGCCTGAGCACCATTAAGGGTTCCAAAAGTAACTCCCAAATAATAAAACAAAACGAAAAGAGGCTCAGCTAAATTCAAACCAAGGCCCATCAAAACAAAAACCAAGGCCCGTCAAAACTAAATAAGTGCTATTGTCACCCATTAAGTGAAAGAAAATGAAAACTTGAAATGGTTGATATTTCAATATATCTATAAACATCAACTATTAATTTATTAGTCAAACATTTATTAGTCAATGGTTGAGATTATTTACTTTTACTCTATTTTTTTAAGAGTTTACTTTTACACTAAAATGAGTTGCTCTCTTTATATAACCTGAACTCAACAGGCTCATGCTTTATTACTTTTTCCATTAGAAATGAATAAATGAACATGAAAATCCCACAGCTATATCTCAGTAGATTCATTTACCATGTTCAGTATCCAAATTTCAAACCAACATAACTCTTCCAAGTAAAAATTTCAACAAAAAAAAGAACCAGCAACACTCATTATAACTTCCTTTCACTTATCTAGAACATGAACATCAATGATTTCTATAAACATGATTTGATCGATGAAGATACAGATGACAAGTTTATGCTAATGTCATTTTACAACACATGAAAATGACCAATTATAAGAGAAAGAAAACAAGGAAGTCTGACACCATGATGCACTAGTCCAACGACTTTTGTAGCCGATTTTAGAATTGAGCACCGACTCGTCTTTCAATCATTCCCAGCAATAATTCTCCTCAACTATGCCATTAGCAATGAGTAAATGATCTGAGTAGATGAGTTTATACCATGTTATCATAATTCTACCAAAATAAGAAGAAAAATTCTACCTCAAATACATCACTATAGCCAAAATTCCTTCAAACATGATCAAGATATTGATTGAAAACTGTGTAGTTTTAGATAAATTCATATTTATAGGGCAAGTTGGTAGAAGAATGTCAATCATTTCTTCTCTCTATATCTGATAGTAACTCCTTCGGACATTCCAACAAGTCCCTTCAAAGCATCTCTCCTGGGCCGCGCAATCTTGTTGTTAGGATCAAATAGAAGAACTTCTTCAAATGCCTTTAGAGCCGACACATATTCTTTTTTACTTTCAAGAGCATCACCAAGATTGTTCCATGCCGTGACATAGCCTGGTTGAATCTTCACAGCTGTCTCAAACTGCGCAACTCCTTTCTCTAGCTTCCCGTCACGGACATAACTGACACCAAGTGCATTGTAAACCTACATCAATGGATTACAGGTGATGATTATTATCAAAGTAGATGTTAACAAGTCACTTCAGAAAAGGCCAATAATGGTAGAATTGTATAACTATTGTATTTGAACAGTTGCACGGGAAGATATCTGTTAGCGGATAAATTATCTTATTCACTGTCAAGGTTTCAATATTTATATAGTCTCAAGCAAATATATATTCCTGCAATATCAGAAATCATAACTTTTTCGTCCCTGCCATCAACATCTGTTACAAACATGCTAACGTGACAAACTGAGGTCCATTTGACCCTTGTGACATGGCATACTTTGGTGATGTGTCACGGTTTTTTCTATTTCCAATTCAAAGTAAGTTCCAAATTAAGCATATATAGTTTATTTTTTTAGAAATCAACCAAGTCATCTAACCTGGGCAAGATCCTGATTTTCTCCATCCCATTTATCAATTGCTTGAAGTAAAAACTTGGTAGCAGCTGGGTAAAACTTCCTCCGCAGCATCACTGCACCAAGTTCAAACAGCTCAGTCGCATTTGCATCACCACTTCTGACTTGCTCCTAAGACAATGAAAGATAAAATAAAGTCAAACTGCTAAAAACTCTTTCATATAAGCTATATAAGCCGTTTTAATAAGCTATTATTGAGAACTTATGGAGTTGTCCAAAAAATTGAGAACTTACGGACATATGCTAAAAACAACTTATGGACGTGTTAAAATTTGTTTCCCTAAGCTCTTCTAAACTGTCTCACAAGTGCTTATAGCAGTAGATAAAGTCAAATAAGTCAATCCAAACAGGTCCTTAATCTCTTTCAAGGTGTTCCAGAGAAAGTTCTAACAATATAAATGACTAAAAGGAAGAAGTATAGGTTCTTACTTGCAACTCTTTGGCAGAAAGGTCAAGCTCTCTGCGAACAAGAACTTGGCGAATCACATAGTAAGTTCCAGCACCGAGCAAGCCCAACAACAATAGCAAATATATTAATTGGATTCCTAAGTCAAACAACTCCCCAACCTGATACATCTCATTTATCTTTACTGAGCTGCTTGCATATGAAACATCGGGAGAAATAATTGATATAGTTAGTCCAAACAAGAATGCTGCAACCCATTTGGATGACTTTTTCCTATCTTGAAGATTTTCCAATGTAAAGTCATTCACTGTGAATCCAGAAAGACAAGATTAAAAAAGGAAATGAGTCTAGCAATTATTGTAATTCAAAAACGACTTTGAAGTTGTGGAATTAGCTGGCATTTGCACAAATGGCAGAACCAAGTTTAGCACAATGCATATAATCAAACAAGGCACACAATGTTTCCGTCTATTTTACTTAAATAACCATTTGAGTATTGAGAATAATAAAACAACCATGTCTAATGGAGATATCATATTTTTATTTGCTTCCTAATGCTTCTAAATATGAATAATAAATATATTTGATTCTGAATTGATTATAGTACCCATTCGTCTAAGGTTTCGATAGAAGCTGAGATTATTATTGACTCCTGGAAGAATGCATCAAAGCATATACTGAAAGATTTGCAAAAATTAAAAGGGCGCACACAATACCTTGCTCATGATCTTAATATTCCTTTATTTTCTGGTCTAGTAGTTTAGTGACTGAAATTTCACCTCTTAAGGGTGAAATATGAGGGATATCGCGGGTTCAAACCCACGCACCTACAATCATATGTCCCTCCACATCTACCATCTAAGCTGGATTAACGGGACGATCTTAATATTCTTAGTAATGTTATACTAGTATGCTCTCCTCACCAATTACAACAATACTTAATTTTAATTATTTTCCTTTGCATATTTTTATATCTACTTATGTGACTAACTATGGAACCGAGGGAAAAGTAAATGCACAAGACTGGAATCATAGTTTAACCAGCAGTCATCCTTACAAAAGTTTTTTTATCATTATTTCGATACAATGTTTCCGAGGGTTATCAGAATAAAACTATAATCATGCATGAAAAGTTGATACCAGCAAAATCATATACATCTCACCCTTACAACATTTGCCATTTTTCTATAAAACATGTGACATCAATTCATTCATTCAGACAACAACAACAACAACCACAACCAAGCCTTATCCCACTAACTGGGGTCGGCTACATGGATCAACTTTCATCGTAATGTTCTATTCAGGACCATACTTCTATTCAAATCATTAATCTAATGATATGAATTCGTTCATGGCATACAAAAAATATCATGAATATGAAAATTGAAAGAACAAGAACAGGGAATTACTGTCGGATTGTTGTCTGAAAATGGTTGTAAGGGGTTCCATTGGCATTGCCCTTTGAAACATCTGTCTTCGACCATGATAGGAGGCAAAATAAAATAAAATGAGTAGCCTAAAACAAAGATTGTGAAATGAGAATACTTCATGTTCAAGACAAAACTAATAAGGGTGTTAGGAATAAAGTGCATGTTTGGAATCACGGTGACTAAGGGATTCTTCGAAACTCATCGTTAATCCGAAAATAAATGAATGATGTTGTTTGCTTTAATTAGGGTGTAAAATAGTACATGAAACCATAACAACCTGGAGCAGTATCCTACTCTTGACTGCATCAAGTTTGCTTCCATGTGAAGTGGAACTAGTTTGGTGAATTCCCAAGGCTTTGATCTTTCTGTAAAAAAGTGTTCCAAGTTAATTAAAAAATAAGAAAGCTTGAAAATAAATGGAAGAGGGGGAATGGAAGAACTTACTTGAGAGGGTATGGTGATGAAGTGGCGAGTTTGGAAGGGAAAGGATTGGAGATAAGGGTAGAGGGAAGAGAATGGAAGATAGAGGAAATGGAGGGAGAAGAGTAAGATAGATGAGTGAAGGTGGAAACACTCATCTTCATCTTCGTTCCTAATTTGGGCAACAACAGCAACAGGGGTGGGTTATCCGGCAGCAACCACTTCCGATGTGATAAACGGTTCAATGCTCAATGCGTCGGTTATTAACCGTTCGATACCTGTTGTTACATGCCTAATCAACGGTTTCGATTCATTTTATTAATTAATCATACTTTTACCTTCTTAACTAATCACAATTATATTAAATATCTAATTATATTATTACTTTTAAATAAATTATATAATAATTAAATGATAATTTTTTATTAGATGAGAATATAAAACTTTAATTCAAAAAAATATTATATTTCATATTTTGAATCATATATATATCATTTTCATTTTTAATCATTGTTTTATGAGTTTAAAACTCGTGTATTGTCGTAATAATGCAAATTATATAAATAATTAATTTAAAAAAATTATATTTTTATGTTATATTAATATTTTAAAAATAAAAATATATTTTAATTAAATATATATTTTTTATTGATCGATATTGTAAAGATATTTTATATTATCGATTTATATTTCTTTTTCTCTTGTTTTATTATATTTTTTGAAAAAATATTTCATAAAATTTGGTGGATCCAATTCTGGCTGTCCAATACGACGACATCTTTAATGGATAATCTTTAAATACTTTTATAAGTATTTTTTTAGCTTTAAAATTTGTCGTAATTTTGATCTTCCAAATCCAACTTACTTAAACATTTCTTGATAAACAAAATAGATTTTATAATATGTAAGATTTTTAATTAGTATTTATTTCAAGATTAATAATAAACTTAGAATGCATTAAATATCAATAAATAAAAAACGGTGCTTTTAACCCGTCTCCCGAGACGTCTCCGGAACACTGGATAAAATGTATTAATTAATTTTCTCTATTATAATAAATAATCAGTTAATTTAAATACTTATTTATTCACTTTCTCTCTCATAATAAATTGATAATAAAATATTATATTAAAAAATAAAATAATAATTAAAAAACTCAAATAAAAATTTATATTTGATTTAAATATCAAATACAAAGATTCAAATGCTTTAATAAAATTCAAAAAATATAACTTAAACAAAATATGATTTAATCTTCATATGACTTCAATTTCTACAAATCAATGATATATAATATCATCATAATCATAATATTCCTGTTACAAAAAGTTATGTGGAATTATTTTAAAAAAATTTACTTTTTTTATATATTATTATATGTGAAAAGTAAAAATGAATTGATAGTGTAAATTTATTTTATATTGTCAACTGATCTTATCGGATCAGAGATGGACTGTCAGAGATGGACTGTCACAGTTGACTTCGGACAGAAGTTGAATGAGATGGGAGTACCTGCAAGACACTCTGATGGTAAAGTAAGAAGCGGCATGAGCAAGCAAGTATAAGTTTAGAGATGTATGAATGAATACCTGACCCTCTTGTGAGAGAGGATATTTATAGCCCCCAACACTGGGTCAAGGTTCCCACTCTTGGGCCACGCGGAGGCCCAATAACAGAAACTGCCAGGGTTTACGTGTGTATGGAGTCCAGCAAATGGATTTCCCCCTGGTCAACTGCTCCGCGAGAATAGGGCTAGACCCGAGATTCTCGGAGGGCAATTTGAGATGTCTGTTAGGAGGTCGTGGGCCACGTCCTCCAACGGTTGGATGGGGAGTTGCCCCACGGTCCCTAACTTGGGTTGTCTTTGGGCTTCCCGTTCGTAGGGAAAATGTAGGCCCAATCTAGATCAGGAGCCCCCCAAGTTATTGTCCTCGAGCTAGAGGGCGATGACTTGAGTTCAGCTCTCGCTCCGAAGACTTGGTCGAGGTAGAGGGCCAAAGTCCCTGAAGGGAGCGAGTCGTTTCCCGCGGGGGGGCCAGGCTCGAGTACGTCGGGGAATATCATGGACCGACGGGGATCGGGACCGAAGGGGTCAACCGCTTGCTCGAGAGGACGTGTTGGTGGCGGGGAGCCTTTGCGAGATCCCCTTTGATATGCCCGTCTCCTGGGAGTTGTTAGATTGTCGAGCACTTCCTCGTCCCTGAGATGGTTAAATAGACGTGCCCCCTTCGTGCACTCATGTGGCGAGCACTTCCTCGTGTAAGTGTTTGCCTCACACGTTTGATAGTTGAGCCACGTGGCTAGTGCTTTGGGATGCCACCCCTTCAAGGAAAAAGCAAAAGGGGCCAATGAGGTGATGACCCATCATGAGGGATCCCTTGGGGCGTGGGTCGCCTATAAAAAGGGGGCCCTTGGGTCTCAGTTGTCACCTTCTCAAATTTCCTCTCAATCTTTTCTTTGCTCGTGGCGTGAAGCGGTTCTCTCAACATCTCAGTTTTTCTTTGCTCGTGGCGTGAGGAGATTCTCTCAACTTTTCAGTTTCTCCCTCCAAGTTCTTCATCCAAGTAAGTTATAACCTCTCAACACCATGTTTCTTGAGCGTTTCTGGATTAAATGTTAAAAAAAATTCTTGATTAGATGAACATTCATGAGTTTTATGATGAATACTCATGAATGTTCGTTTGAGTTCATGGGTTCCGTGTCGAACACTCATGAATGTGTCGGGCACTTATGAACATTCATGTTATAGTGTCGGGGAGGACTCCTTAGGCTAGTGTGCATCCCGGAGTTTTGCTCGGTGAGTGATCCCCCGACTACATTTCCTTGGAATATAATGGTCTGCTTTAGCATGTCGAGGGCTTGGGTCGAGTTCGTCTCCCTTTCACTTGATCTGCGGTGGAAGGATGGATTTGATAATGTCGAATTCACTAACTTCCCCTGCTTTTCAGGTACAATGGCATGTTCAGTCGGGGACGACATTTCGGCCGCCCATCACGAAGACGAGCCCCGTAGCGACGAGGACCCTTTGGCTTGGGTAGCTCTGGAGCCCCAAGATAAACAGTCGTGCTTTTCACAGGATGCGACGAACACGTTCAACTGTCCGGAGGAACACGCAGAAGGGGTCCCGGCCAACTGGATGCTTCAAATTCCCCATCGGGACCGAAGGATATGCTCGACGTATCCGAGCAAACGGTTCCCTATGTACGAATTTGCTTTCAAAGAGGCGGGGATGTGCATGCCCTTCAAAGATTTACAGGTCGGGGTTTTCCAATGGCTTCAGTTGGCGCCTTTCCAACTTCATCCAAACACGCTGGCGTTTATGTAGGCGTTTGAGCTCATCTGTCAATACCTGGTGATAGCCGCCACGCTGCCCCTTTTCTTCCGCATCTTTCACCTACAAAGACAATCTGTCTAAGGGAGGCAGGCGTGGGTATCCTTTAAGCAGTTCGGGAAACTCTTTTGGCCTTATCTGGAGTCCGTCCAAAATTTTAAAGAGAAATACTTCGTCGTGAAGCCTCTGACGTACGAGGCTATAGATTCTCTCTATACCCGTGTGGAAGAGGTGGAGGACGGGCAGCCAGTTACCCGACTTATGGCCAGATTCCCGCTCGAATGGCAGTGGAGGCATTATGAACAAAGGCCTGAATCTATGCAGTGAAACCCGAGGATTTGGATGCCCAAGACCAGCTTTTGTACGAGAAGCTGTCGGCTTATGTTAAAGGTTTCTCCCCTGCGAAGTGCATGGACGTGAACAGCAACCTGTTGTTTGACGAGGAGGGGGAGTATCTCTTAGTCAATAGGTTGATCAATATTAAGGCCTTGCTTGAGTGCTCCTCGAATGGGGAAGCCATGAGGCTTTTGGGTATGGCGTAGCCGTTACTTTGCTCCTTTTTATGGGGGGACGTGTCCACTCTATTTTTGATTTTTCCAACTCGACTAACGATTCTCTTTGATTGCGGGTCGAATGGCATCTCTTTCTGAGCGTTTGTTGAAACTGAGACCCAAAAACGCATCCACTTCTGGACCATAAAGCATAGTCGCCCAGCTTTAGGAACAAGCCAAGTCTGTCGGTTGGGCCAATGGTTCCCCTTCCTACTCAAAAAATCCAGCTTCTACTGATCCGGCCCAGATTCTGTGGCTAAGAGGAAGCGTGCATATAACAATGTGGGCGTACCGTCCGAGGGTGACAAAACGTCAGTGGGGGTTTTCGTATTGCCTCCTTGCTATCTAAACCGTGACCTCTTCAGCGAGGAGGACTCCCTCGGCATGCGCGAGGAGGAGAGGGAGGCCATCTTGACTGAAGACAAGGAGATTCTCCAGAAGCACTTGGCCGAGGACGTGGCTGTTGTGATAAGGGTGCTCGAGACGGCCCTTTCACTCAACGATGAGTCCCCGAGTGCTCAAGCCTCCCTCGACACGGCCTACACCAAAATCCATAAGCTGAAGGTCAAGAATGAGAAGTTAAAGGGTGATATCCTTAACGATGAGTCAAGGTTCGAGGCCCAAGTTCAGCTTCTCAGGGATTTAAACGAGCTGAGGCCTCAGCTAGAGACGGCCACTAGGGAGAACGAGCGTCTGGTCGCTCGTAATTTGGAGCTAGAAGGGATGACCGCGCCGGCCGAGGATGAGACCGAGACAGAGAAGAACATGGCAACCAGGGCGGATTTGATTGCTCGCATCCTCTTGCTTGAGTAGTACGTGGTTGATACCCCTTGGCTACGGCTTCAACACTATCGTCGAGCAATTGAAGATCTTGAACCCTGGGGTCGAGTTAGTGGTCGAGGGGGCGAGGCCATTTAACCAAGTTGTTTACGGGAAGATCCTTTATCCCCCGGATAGTAGCGACATGGAGGATGAAGTTTGATTGTATTCAGTTCAGGGCCTACGTGTCTGTTGTTGTTTTAGGGCTTGCGTGCCCGCTATCATTCTTTTAGTTTTTAGGCCGTTGTGCCTAAATTATAAATTTGAACAACGTTGGTCTTTGTAGTCGGCATATTATAATTGCGTTATCTATTAACTGTTTATTTGATGAGTAATTGGTAACTTTTGGATGTATGTGCCCGACCATTATTGTGGTCGTTATGAATTTTTTACGAAGTTTGTGTTTTCGCGCAGAGATACCTATTCGACCCTTACATCGGTTCGACACACTTTGAAATGTGTC